TTGAATTGGTTTTCTTTAGCATGGACATGGTACTCATTTGAAATACAAATGGATTCATTTGTTTTGGTCTGCTTGTACCTTTAAGTTCATTTTCCCTTCCTTATCTTTATTGCTTTTCTTATATTTTTTGAATGTGTTGAATATTAACATCCACCTCAAAAAATAAAAATTATATAAAAAGTCATTCTCAGACAGGTGTCAGTCTCTCCTACATCTTATCTACCATCTGTCCACCCACATTATAGATAACCAGTTTCATCACTGTGTAGTTTATCCTTCCTTTGGTGTCTTTTGTAAAAGATAAGCAGATACATAACTGCTCTTGTTTATTAAATATTGCATAGTATTTATATTCTTTTGAAAAAAAATTTTTTTTTACTCAGTAGTATCTCCTGGAAATTAATCCATATTATTCAAGAGAGATTAGTTTTCAATATTTTCTAATCACAAATAATATTGTAATACTGTGCATATCTATTTTAATATTATTAGAGGTATACCTTCAGGGTAAATTCATAGACGTGAGATTGTCAGGTAGAAGGGTAAATAATATGTAGATTTGTTAAAACTACTAGTTCTTCATAGGGGTACCATTTTGCAATCCCAATGAGAATGCCTATTTTGAAATACCCTCACCAACAGAGTACTGTCAAGCTTTTGAATTTTTGCTAATGTGATTGATAAGAAATGGTATTTGCATGGTTTTCTTAAAAAAAAAAAAAAAAGAAAAACAACAACAATCAGACAAACCTTTGTTGAAGTAGAATTTACCTAAATTTCAATATAGTAAAATTTATTAATTTTAGGTTACAGTTTAATGATTTTGTTTAACCCAAGGTCACAAAAGTTTTTTAGAATTTAATTATTTTAGTTCTTATGTTTAGATCTATAATCCATTCACAGTTAGTTTTTAAGTATGACATAAGGGCTGAGATTCATTTTTTTTCCTCAAATATTCCCTTATTCTACCCCTATGTATTATAATGAGCATCTTTTCCCCAGTGAATTGTCTGTGAACATTTTAGAATACCAAGTGACTCGAAGTGTGGGTCCATTTCCACCAGTGTCAGACTCTGTTAGCTCAGGCTTACAGCCAGGAGGAGCAGTCTGTCTGATTATGCTCATTCTCCAATTCCTTTGGCAGTTGCCTACTGTATAACGCCCAGCTTTTTAAAAATCGTTTTCTGTTGGAAGATGTCTTCCACCAGTGTTTCCCTCTGTCATTACCAGAAGATGGAAGTCCTATCACAGTGTAGATTTTAACTGGTATTTCTCTTATTATGAGAAAGATTGTCTTTTCATATAATTAAGGGACATTTTTATGATGTTTTTTGGGTGTCTGTTCATGTCTTTTGCCAATTTTTCTACATCATTTTTGGCTTCTCAACTGTTAATACTTCTAACAGGTTATTATTTATGTACATGGATGCAACTGAGTTTTGTATATTAATTTTACATCTTGCTAGCTTGTGAATTTCTCACTGAGTTAGTTTTATCATTGATTGTCTATGGGTTTCTGGATTATTATTATAATCTGCAAGCAGATTATTATATATCTGCAAGCAGATGGTTTTATTTATTTTTTTCTAATTCATATGCCCCTAGTTGTTGTTCTAGTCTAATTGTATTTTCCTTTTTTGTGTGGTTTTATAGGTTTAGACATCAATGTTACACTAGCTTCAAAAAAAAAAAAGGAAATATTTTCTTTCTTCTTATTATTTTTTTTAATCCTTTCAGAGGATATTTATGTGGTTTTGGGATTGTCAAAGGTGTGGTTAAATTTCTCTGTGAAACATCTGACCTGATCTTTTTCTAGAGGGTAGTTTCTTGATAACTTTATTTCTTTTATAGAAATTGGTCTGTTAAACTTTCCATCTCTACTGAGGTCAGTTTTGGTAAACTGTATTTTCCCACGACAACCTTTTAATAGACGAGTTGATCCCATTCATGTTAACTGAGATAACTATTCTGTGTGGTCTCAATTTGATCATATTTTGTTGAAATTACTGTGTGGATATATTATATTTATATGGGTTTATTTTGTGTGTTCCTTTTGCTTTTTAAAAAATTCCTTTTGGTGGGGCACCTGGGTCTCACATAAATAAATAAGATCTTTAAAAAAAAAAAAGAAGAGGGGTGCCTGGGTGGCTCAGTGGGTTAAAGCCTCTGCCTTCGGCTCAGGTCATGATCTCAGGGTCCTGGGATCGAGCCCCGCGTCAGGCTCTCTGCTCAGCAGAGAGCCTGCTTCCCTCTCTCTCTCTCTTTCTGCCTGCCTCTCTGCCTACTTGTGATCTCTGTCAAATAAATAAATAAACTCTTTAAAAAAAAATAAGTTATTAAAATGCAAGAAGAAATAAAATGAGAGTTGGTAAAACTTAGGGAAGAAATAGAAGAAAAAGATAAAAGCATATCAGAAGTGAAAACTAAGTTTGTAAGTTGTTCAAGAAATTATACAAATGAAAAGGCATCGAAAACAACAACAACAAAACACCATAAGCAGGAAAATGATATTGAAATAAGGAAATAAAAGAGTTTCCTGAAGAAGTAAAACAACTGAGTAACACTAATATTTAGAACTATAATCCATGAAAACATTCCAGAAATAAAAGAAGACTTGAACCTATTAGTGAGTACTAGGTAATCTGACCTAGAAAGATCAACTCTAGGACATATCCAGTAAACTTACTAGGCTTCAGAGATAGAACAGAAAATGAACAGTGTCTCCAAGTGAAAAAAATCAGACAACTTACAAAGGCTATAGAATTTAACAGCATCAGCCTTCTCAACACAACAAAGTAAGGCCATAGGAGAGTAACATTTTCAAGAAACTAAAGGAAAGAACGTGTAAACCAAACTGTATACAGCCAACCTGACTTTCACATATCAAGACCCTAGAAAAACCATTTGGAATGGGCCAGTATTCAGGGAATACTTTCCTGAAGAATTTAGGAGAGGATGAGTTTCATCCAGCCAAAAAATTACTCGAGTAACTTTGTCCAGAGTTTCCCAGAGAGTGAGCATCTCACAGATGTTATTTTATCAGATGTTATTTTATAGCGAAGACCAAAATAAGAGTTTGCAGGTAAAAGAATAACACGTTAACAGTACATGTCAGACAAAAAAATCAAAAGATGCAATTTATTAAAAAAAAAAATCAGAGGAAAAAGGGGGGAGAAAAAAGAGGGAAGTAAAATATAATTGCTTTGCTGTATAAGTAAAGGTATCATTTAAAACTGATGTCAAATAGTAAAAAATTAGGTAAAAATAGAGGAGATTTCTGGCACTATAAAAAAGTAGTAATACAAAGGTAACTTATAGAATGAAAAGACAAATCTTCCTAAATACCAAAAGAAATTTTTTTAAAGATTTTATTTATTTATTTAACAGAGAAGTCACAAGTAGGCAGAGAGGCAGGCAGAGAAAGAGGGAGGAAGCAGGCTCCCCGCTGAGCAGAGAGCACAATGCGGGACTCGATCCCAGGACCCCGAGATCATGACCTGAGTCGAAGGCAGAGGCTTAACCCACTGAGCCACCCAGGCGCCCTGCCCCTCTTCTTGCATTTAAAAAATATTTCTATTCTTAGTTTTTAAAAAATTTCTGTTTGAGGTGTTTTTCTTTAGTGCCAAATGCTTTGTTTGAGGATATTTAATTGAATTGAGTGTTGTGTTAGTTTTCTTTAAGCTTTGTGGTTGAACTGTTTTGGAGAGTTTTCGTTGGAAGGAAAGCTTTAATTCATATTGTCTGATTTTTCAGTTGTTTTATAATAAGGGGGACAGATTTATTTATTTATTTTTTTCCTATTCCATATTTTTTCCCTTGCAGAGAAAAAGTTCTTAGTTCAACAGCATGCTCTTCTGTGCAGTGTCTTCATGGATCATGTTGTTGAAGGTCATGGTGAGGGCAGACGGAAAGGAATGGTATGTCTTGTTTCTCTTTCATTTTTGCAAGATCTTTAATTTTCCCCTCTTATTTCCTTATTGCTTCATCTCCAAAGGATACTACCCTGTTTCTGTTCATTTGGTTATTCCCCAGAAGCAATTATTTTCCAAGGCTGCCACTTCTGGTTGTACACTTTCTCAAGTCCTGAGAACCACTCAATACTGATCTGTGCTTAGACTCTGGCATTCATTGCTGCATTTTCTTTTTGGAGGTGATTGTGTTTGTACTTCATCTAATCGCTTTGTTTTTTCCTGATCTTTGAAGAGTCACTGAAAGCTTACCACCTCTATTCTTTGTATCCCAACTTCCATTAGCAGGAAGGCTGCAGGACTTTGTTGAAAATTTTTTACTCTATTTATATGTACTTTGAAGGATGTGGCATTTTACGTCACAGTCATATTGAAGGTATGAGTCCTATATGATTTTACTTGCTATGTTGACTTTGTTTTCTGGGGAGATAATGTTTGGGCAATTCAAAATCAGGTGACTGCCACTGCTTTCTAGCTAAGTTCTTTTTATCTTTCTACCCTTATCAATATTTTATTTATTTATATATCTGTTTTATAATGCCATTGTATTTATTTTGTTGCAAGTGACCAAAAATCCTGTGAAGAATGATGTAAAAATAAATTACTTTTTAGTATTAAAAAGTAACAGTAACAAATGCTCTGCCTTGGAGGTTTTCTTTTCTTGTTTTATTTTTTCTGTAATATAGTCAGGTATGAGTAACAGAAGAAAAGAGAAAGGAAAAGAAAAAGAGAAAGAAAAAAGAATAGAAAAGCAGTGAGATTGATCATTTGCTTCCGATAACCATGGGTATCTGCTTTTGAAAGCAATTTCTTTGAGCAATAGTAGCACGACTTCAGCACAGATAGCTCTGAAAGTGATTGCTTTTAAGACTTATGCTATTTTATACTATAGTATTCACATCTGTAAGGTCCAGGACATATATAGCATCACTGCTGTTTACCCACATGAACAAAAGCATGCATCCACACATGTGCGCATGTGCACACACATGCACACTCACACACCCACACACACACAAAACATGTACTTACTTGTTTCACATTCTGGAGTTCTTCTGCCAATTGTTTCTTTTGCCTTTCTGATTCAAATAACTTTTCCTATATTTAAAAACCAGTGAATTAATAACAAATTATGAAGTATCAATGAGCCTTATTTCAAAATTTATAAATTCTACAAACATCCAATTGTGACAATCTGAAAATGTAGTTCTTAGTCACTTTTCTGGCTTTCCACATACCATTTAAAAGTAATTATCTACAGTATGATTGTGATGTAAATGCATTTTCTGTTACTTTGATTAGTCATTTTGTATAATCTCAAAATCTGAGCTCCAAAATAATTCAGTCAGGATAAAAATGTGTAAATACTAACTAAATTTTGGGCAAAAGCAATCATCACCAAAGAGCTTCCAAACTGAAGAGGATGATTATCACAACTTAGAAGTAAAGGTCTCTTAGCACACTAAAGAGGACATATGAAATTGGACTGGCTACTGTTTTTCTAATTTACCTTGTGCTTGGAAGATTATCCATACAAACGAAGATATGACTAATGTAACCAAAATATAAAATAATAGTTACTGTCCTAGAATAAATAATATCACACATGTAAATTAAATGTTATCTTTGAAATTAAAATTTAAGCACATACCCTAAAATATTCAGCTTTTAAAAAATATATCATAAATGAATCCACATTTTATTGATCAAATCAGAAATACTAAGAGTAACAGAAGGACAATTTTACTATAAACTTGAGAAGAATTGCTTGAAGATTAAGTTGAGTGGTAAATATTCATGGCAATACTGCAATGTTTGTAAGAAGCATTCTGTTTCCTGGTATATTTCAGCTCATTCTTATCTAAGATAGGAAATGAAGGTATATGAAGATGAATTTAATATAGCAATCTAATGAATCTGCCACATACCAGGAGCCAAGAAACTGCTGGCTCTCGTGCTTTTATGCTCTAGCAAGTCACCTTCACTCTGTGTCCTAGTTTTTTTTTTGCATCTGTAAATGGAAAATACATCTATTTTCATTCAGCTTTGCAAAGCAGTAGCAATCTTGAACTTGGCAGAAAGGCTTTAAGTTAAATAAAGCCCACAGCACTTTAAAAAAAAAATCACTCTCGTCCAATAAAAATTAGCCACTGGCATCAAATGATATTGGTTTCATTTCTATTTGAGCCTCAAATCAGGCATGAAGAATAGAGATGTCGCAAGTGAGGAGAGAACACCTACGCCCTCTATGAACTTAACGGAACAACCTCTGTTATCTGTGTGTGTGTAAGACAAGTAGAAATAATGAAGGTACACATGTTACCTTGAAGAAGTATTTATGGCTGTGTACACTCTTTTACATGGCAAACCAAGTGGTTCTCAGCCAACGGATAGGTTTGTGGGTAAAGGAAATTATAAAATACAGAATATGCTGTTTCTGGGATTTCAGGTCCTGTCACATTAGAACATGTTTAGTTACGTGACATAGACTAAGTGTGAACCCTGATTTATTTAAGAGCTCTTTAAGGGAGCCCTGTTTAAATGTTACATAAATGCAATTTTAAGTTAAAATTCTAATAATATTGATATTTAAATAAAACTACAATGTATCATTAACAATGATATACTTTAAGAAAATGAAAAGATCTGAGAGCCTCCGAAGTTTTTCTTTTTTTTTCTTTTGAGAGGGAGAGACAGAGAATCTTAAGCAGGCTCCACACCAAAATCAAAAGTCCAGTGCTTAATCGACTGAGCCACCCAGGCACCTCTGAAAGTTCTGACGAACCATAAAATTTAATGGCTTATGTAGAGACGGACTATATAAAATGCTGTTTTACCAAGACAGCCATCATTGGCAATGTTTTCAAAGAGAATATGAGGAAATTATTGTCAATTTATTCTTAAAACTAAATTTATGTTTTTTCATTTTTATTCTCAAGTATTATAACCAAAAATGTAGAAGTGGTTTCAAAGTTGTAAAAAAAACTCTATAAAATATTCCTTTAGTAATGGGATGTTCGTACACACTTGGAAGGAACATGAACTGGTGAAGCCTTTTGAAGGGTAACTTAGTAATGTGTATAAAATTTTATGTGTCCGTATCCTTTGATAAAGCAATTCTACATTCAGAAATGTATTCAGTTTGTACATTTACAATTGTACAAATTGCCCCAAGATACATCTACAAAGCTATCTATAATGAACTTATTTTTAGTAGAGGAAAACTGGAAGTAGCCTAAATATTCATCATTAAGGAACTGGCTAGGGGTGCCTGGGTGGTTCAGCCCAGGTCATGATCCCAGGGTCCTGGGATCAAGCCCTACATCCATTTTGCTGCTCAAGCCCTACATCTCATTTTGCCTGGGAGTCTGCTTGAGGATTCTTTCCCTCTACTTTGCACCACCCCCATGCCCCTCCCATGCATGAGTGCGCGCTCTCTCACTCTCTAATGAATAAATAAAATCTTAAAAGAAAAAAAAAAAAGGAGTTGGCTAGATAACCTAGGACAGAAACACTGGATGATAGGAGAACCATTAAGAAGACTTTGGCAGGGGACACCTGGGTGGCTCAGTCAGGTAACCATCTGCCTTTGGCTCAGGTCGTGATCCCAGGGTCCTGGGCCTGAGCCCTAAATCAGGCTCTTCTCCCTCTGCCTCCTGCTCACTCTGCTGGCTCAGTCAGTCTCTCGCTCTCTCCCTCTGACAAATAAATATATAAAATCCTTAAAAAAAAAAAAAAAAAAAAGATTTTGGCAGATCTGCACATATTAACTCGAAAAGTAGCCCAAGATATAAGGCCAACAAAGAGAAAAAAGAAATAGGAAGCAAGTTGTAAAAAAGTGTTCAATGTAAAGAGATGTACATAAAAGCTAAAATGCATATATATACATTTATTTTTAGAAATATAATTGGCTGTAGAGAGAAAAAAGTCTCCGAAAGGCTAAACAAGGTGTGTTTAACAATGGCTTCCTCTAGGGGTTGGAATTTAAAAACTAAGGCAGGAAGGAATTTTTCTTCCTTTTTTGGGGAGGTGTAAAGATTTTGCTTTAATAAAAATTAAGTAGGGGCGCCTGGGTGGCTCAGTGGGTTAAAGCCTCTGCCTTCGGCTCAGGTCATGATCCCAGCGTCCTGGGATCGAGCCCTGCATCAGGCTCTCTGCTCAGCAGGGAGCCTGCTTCCTCCTCTCCCTCTGCCTGCCTCTCTGCCTGCTTGTGACCTCTCTCTGTGTCAAATAAATAAATAAATAAAATCTTTAAAAAAAAAATAAAAAATAAAAATTAAGTAAATAAACAGAGAATTTTACTTATTTCAGAAAATAATTTAAAATAATTGAAAAAAAGTACTCCTATAGTGAATTAAAGGTAAATCAAGTAGTTTATACAGCTTTTCTTGAAGACTTGAAAATACAATGGATTTCTGTGAAAATGACAGTATAATTTAAATTTAATATCCTATTAAAAACAGAATGAAAATATATAAATTCTTCTTTTTCTCTTAATCATATTACCTTAATTCCAAATTATATTACCAAAACAAGAGGCCTCTGAAACATGCCTACAAACATGAAAAAATGTATTTTCCAGTGAACATTTAAGGATTCAAAATTGTCATGGCTTGCTTGGTTGACTCATCTAATCTTTGTTGGTTTCTCATCTTTGCCACCAACACGAGAGCAAAAAGGTATGAGAAGCAGCCAGATCCTCAGGTATGAGCAAAAACCACTGTCTACACTGAGTCTTACATGGGTATTGGGAAATAAAAGTAAGTAAACAAACAAACAAAAAAAGGACCCTTTAAAGGCCTGCTGAATAAATGAATTATAAAATATTTGGTATTAATATGAACACAAATAATATCAAATATTTGATAATTTATAATAATATTTTTCCATTTCTTTTTTCTCAACAAAACGTAAGGAGGCGAAATTGGAGATTACCTTGAGCGTATTCACTTCCTCTAAGGCATCATTTCTTTCACGCTTAAGCCTTTCTATTTCATCTGCCTCTAAGGAATCACAGGGAAGAAGCTGTCAACATTAAAACATAAGAAAAAAGTTATGCATTAGATGCTAATTATGAGAACTAGCATAAAAACCCTTTTTGACGAGTGTTAAGCTTTTGCATTTTAATAACCAAATTTATTTTGTTACTTTGGAGTCATCTGATTAGATGAAAGCGAATGTTAAAGTAATTTGGGGTAACTTGATTTAAGCTTGAGTTTGCACTGCTGTTGTTTATAACAGAATCTAGATGATTATAAGGTATACATACTGTGTTGTCATCTTTATGTCATCAATTTTAACAATATAATTTCCCTTAAAAGTCCAAATTCTACGATTGGGTTTATGATGTCAAAAAGACTTCATGAGATCAGGAGGAAAACAAACCACAAGAGACTCTTAATCTCACAAAACAAACTGAGGGTTCCTGGGGGGAGAGGGGGTGTAGAGAGGATGGTTGGGTTATGTACATTGGGGAGGTATGTGATATGGTGAGTGCTATGAAGTGTGTAAGCCTAACGATTCACAGACCTGTACCCCTGAGGCAAATAATATACTATATGTTAATAAACTACTCCCCCAAAATATCCACCCCATGTACATGGCATCTGAGGCTAGCAAAACACTGGACATTATCAACCAAGAGAGTTTGTGTGAACCCAGTAAAGGTCACTGATTGATTCCACACCTTGTTTTAACTATATGAAATGCAATGTTAACAGCCAAGCAGCTTACAAAGACATGCACAGAAACTGTGGACTGAAGGTAATATTAATAATTCAGGCACAAGTGAACAACCACCACCACAAAATAGCAGAGGTGGCAATTCCTCTTCTCTTACTGCTAGCATGATCTCTCTGACAGTCAATTATAAGGTAAAAAAAACAATGACAATCTAATCAGAGATAAAAATCCAAGTCTAATTATAGCCATCTTATATGTATAAATTATAATAGAACTAAAAAATGTATAGAAAATATAATTTAAAGGATTATGTGGAGAAAATGATTGCTTTTTAAGTATGGGCTTAAGGCAGAGCCTTTCAGACAGGAGAGATGAATGCAGAGTGACAAAAGATAATAAAAATAATTAATGATAGGGGTGCCTGGTGGTTAAGCTTCTGCCTTCAGTTCAGATCATGACCCCGGATCATGACGGGCTCCCTGCTCAGCAGAAAGCCTCCTCCTCCCTCTTTCTCTGCCCTTCCCACTCTCTCCCTCCACCCCTACTTGTACATACTCTCACTCTAATATACAAATAAAATCTTAAAAACAAATTAATGGTATCACATTTATTACGAACTTACTATGTGCAGACACACTGCTAAGGGCCACATACATTCAATACTATATCCTTCCTATAACCTTGTCTCCATTTAGCAGAGGAGGAAACAGGCTCAGGTTAGCAGCTTATGTAAGGTTTCACAGCTAATAAATGGCCACCCCAAGATTCCCACAGAAGTCTGATGTTAGTCGGATTTTTACTAACTGCCCAAGAGAAATCATGATGGAATAGATACAATAAATTCAGGTTTGATTTCTAAATCCTAGCATAACTGAAGTAGGAGCCATTCCTCAATTTTGGGGGAGAAATATTTTTCCTGCACACTACTGTTTCCTTTCGTCCTGACAGTTACCTTTGAGTATCTATTTGTTTCATAACTTAAGTCATCACATCATCTTCATCTGTCTCTGTTACTCTACTCTTTCTTGAGTACTCAACACCCACTCATAGAATTCATTCTTATACTGTTTAGGATTAGTTTTTAAGACATTTTCAAACGTAACAATATTTCCCGAAGTATGTTCTAAAGGATATTAACTAGGTTTGCACAAAAGCCAAACTGAGTGGTGGTGACGATGGCAGCGGACCCTGTGGTCAGGTAAATTTGAGAAATGTGAGGATTTAGAAAAAAATGAACTTCTTTCCTGCAGGGCTTCCAACATCCGTAATATGCTAATGAGCATTTTTAATATCCCCAAAGGAAATAAAATTTAGTAACTTGTTGCTTTTCCTCAAGTTATTTGACCATACCCTTGACCACTACACCTTTATTTATTTAAAGATTTTTGTTTATTTATTTGACAGACAGAGATTATAAGCAGGCATAGAGGCAGGCAGACAGAGAGAAGGAAGCAGGCTCCCAGGACCCTGAGATCATGACCTGAGCCAAAGACAAAGGCTTAATCACTAAGCCACCCAGGTGTCCCACCTTTATTTATTTTGTGGCACCTCACTGGACTAATGTCTGCAAATACAAAGTGTTCTGGGAAACACTGCTACTCAATATTCAGATAAGCCTATTGTTATCTTGCATGCTACCTAAATGTGAAATAATTCAAAATGTGAAATGTGAAATGTGAAATAATTCAAAATGTGAAATGTGAAATAATTCAAAAGTTTAAATAAGTTAAAAAGTTTAAAAAGTTAAATAAGAATCTAGATAACAGAGCTTATTTTATATATACATATATATATATATTTTTGTTTTGTTTTGTTTTTTTTTACTATGTGAAATTATAGACAAGGATTTTAGGGATGCGATTGAAAACTTTTGAGCTTAAAACACGGTGGCAAATCATGCAGCAAAAGGTGCATGGTACCATTTTAGGAGGCAAAACACTAGGCTTCAACAATCACAGAACAAACTATAACTTAAAAACAAAGCAAAACAATATGTGTTATAATTCTATTGCTATTTTGGGCTAAGCAGTGAAAACTTATAGCCAGAGAACTGGTCATAGATGGTACCTGTGAATTCTGTGAAAAGCCTCTCTGTGCTCAGTCATATGTTAATAAGAGTTTGAATATGCTTCAAATAAGCAAGCAGCAGATGAAATGAATTTTTGCTATTTAATCTCAAAGGATTCAGACAGATAATTGTTTTCTAACCTCCTTCCAGTTCTTGGACTGTACCCTTACCTTTCTCCATTCCTTTCCTGTCTGGTTCTCCCAGTATCATTTGTGACCCTCAGGTCCTCCCACCTCTGAAACACCCCGTAAATAACATTGTAAATCATTTCTACTCTACTCTGGATAGCTACTATTTTACTGTTCTCATTCTGAAACTCAACTCCTCTTCAACAGAACAATCAAGTCTGTTTCAGGTCAATTTTTCCCCCCTAGATGAAAGCCTTCTATTAGAAACCCATTCAATTTCCTCCTTTCCTTAAAGTTTCTGTATATTCCCTGATTTTCTCCTTCCTTTCTCTTGCTCCCTCCTTTAACTTCTTATAACTTGCTTAATAAATCTTTCCTCCTGTCCCTGCATTTTGAAAATAATTATGTTCAATGTCAATAGTTAACCTAGCATTTGACAAAATAAATGCACCCCTCCATCCACTTATTTCCCTACTTCTACTGATAGCCAACCGATTATTAATCATCCGAATCAAAACTCTCAGTTATCTTTAACTCATTCTCCCTTGGTTCTTAGACCCAAATGCAAGCCTTAATGGTAATACACTTACTATTATATTACATATAATTATATATATAATTATATATATAATTATATATGTTATATATATAAAATGTTATATATATTATTATACCTATTATATATATTATATATAATATTATATACCTGTCTCTCTATTCCTTCCCATTATCCTCAACTTCACCATAGTTTAGTTCTTAATATTCTGTATTTGGACTCTTTCCTTTGTCCACTATCTAGGCTACCTACCACCAGTTTCATTCTCTTCCAAGATAACCAACACTATTACAAGATTACCATTTCTAATTGCTTTGATCATGTCATAAAATTCTCCCTAATGGCTCTTCATTGGCAACTAGTAAAGTATAACCTTCTAAGTGTAATATTTGCCCTTTTAGGCCCAACTCCCTTCACTGATCTGCATGTACTCACTTTTTTTTTTTTTTAAAGATTTTATTTATTTATTTGACAGAGAGATCACAAGTAGACAGAGAGGCAGGCAGAGAGAGAGAGAGGAGGAAGCAGGCTCCCTGCTGAGCAGAGAGCCCGATGCGGGACTCGATCCCAGGACTCTGAGATCATGACCTGAGCCGAAGGCAGCGGCTTAACCCACTGAGCCACCCAGGCGCCCTGCATGTACTCACTTTTAAAAAAAACTAGATACTCTCTGCTTACCATCACATTATATATATACATTTTTATTCATGCTAATTCTCTTAGCACGTTCCATCCACTTCTTAAGCAGATAAAATCCTGTATATCATTTAAAATTCATTCAAATGCCAAGTCTGTTAGGAATCTTCTCTAAATATTTTGAGCTCTGTTAGTACTACGGCCTTATCATGCCACGCTACAGTTTTTTAAACTATAATTATTTGTGTACATGCCTTTCTATACATAATACCCTTAAGTTCCTTGAAGGACAGGCTTGAGTTTTGTTTTAATAATATACTGGAGCAGCTAACACAATGCTACACGCTGGGGTTGTTCAATGTATATATCTAATGTTTTACAGAGGAGTACATACTGCTACATATAGTGAGAAATGCCTTTTCTATCATGACCCCAGTATAAGTGAAACATTATTCATGCACACACAATTCACTATGATATTTTCCACTCTATTCTCTCACTTGTTAAAATGGGGGTTGCAATCCACCAAATTGATTTAGCAAGAAACCAAACTGTGAAAAGTCTACTTTAGGGAATTTATAGTGTTAGCTCTGTGATTTTAAGATAATCCCTGTATGATATTTAATTAGGATGGTAAACCCACCATATTATTATGATAGACTCAAGTCTGTGGTTGCTAAGTTTAGAATTCTGCTAAATCTAGGCTCCAACCTTGTTTTTCTGTATGCAACCTTGCCCCAGCCACAGGTATAGCATGGTGTGAATTTTTAATATAGCAATGATGATTATAATCACAGTAGGATAATTACATTTTTAGAATTAAATGCTGTATTATTCCCAAATCAGTTTTTTTTTTTTTTTTTTTTTTTTTTTTTGTCAGCTAAACAAAAGTAGGACTGACTTAGACTGACCCAGCAATTCTTCCTTCTTGAAACATGGCATCTCAGGAAATTTT